ACGCGTGGTGTGAAATAAATTCTCTAACCAGACAATGTCCAAGCTTCTTTGGTGATAATTCATTGCGGTATTTTAACGTTGACACATGTCCGCATGTTCCTTACTTGTTCCATACTGCATTTCAGCTCTTCATCCTTTCTTGTCTTATGTACAAGTCTGAACTGCCACATTCATATTTGTTCTAATTTGATTAGTTAATGAGTCCCTCACACTGATATGGAGGAGATGAATTCATTCATGGCAAATCCTGCTTTGCTAGTGAGGGAAGGGTGGGAAGTAGGAGTCGTTGAGCAACCTTCAAAAAGCCTTCCAGCTTCTGATGGTGTGCTTTCTTTCATGAGCTGGAATTGCGATTTCTCCTCTTAGAACCATCCAGCCACAGCAACCTCTGGCTATAATTAAGAAGTGGGTGGTGTCGAAAAATTACCAGGACTCATGCACACCAGCCTTTAATGCCATTCTCTGTAGCAGGACTGTGTGCGTGTCCGATCAGAGCTGCTGGAACTGGAGCCCAGCCATCTCATTCACATAACGCCTTGGAACGGCTGCTAAGCAGCTGCTGTCTTGCCTTGGTTCCCACTTCTCAGATCTGGACACAAGAAAGATCAAATAAACCACAAAGATACTTTACCGTGATTCCCAGAGTCTCAGATCTCTTGCGTGCAGGTCTCGCTTCTCCTCCAGCTCCAGATGCTGGGCAGTCCCCAGCAGTCAGCCTCACAAACAGTGGCTAATTTGGATTAGGATGCTAATTAGAAATGAATGGGCTGCGTAGAGAGCACTTAGTCAGGGTTAATTAGCAGTTAAGTGGCCAGCCAAGCTCCCTTTGGCTGCAGTGGCTGTTCAATCACACTCTCTTCTCCAGCCAGCTGAGCCTCCATGAGGCCCTTCATGCCCTCACATGCCGCCAAGGTTCACCAGAGACAGCCCTTTAGCCCTGTTCACTCAGCTGTTGCAAACCGTTCTTTTAGGTATGACCCATGCTGTTGCTGGATAGATAGGACTCTGCACACCACACTAATGAATTCTTAGAAAAGGCGCATTTATTTCTTGGCCTAGCTTACTTTATATTTATTTTATTTTATTTATTTATCTGATTAAAATAATATAAATAAAAACAAACAATAATTAAATTAATTAAATAAATAACTTTAGAATCCGTTCTGTGCCATTTATTGCAAATGGCTGAAAGTGAAAAAAGCAAATAAAAATTGAGAAAGAGAGAAATGTTATGAGTGAGGGATGCTCATGCGGATGATACCCATGTTGGATGGGTAGCTCACAGTTCAGAAGACAAAGTTGGGATCAAAGATAAACTTAGCAGATTGGAGAACTGGACCAAAACAAACAAAACACACTATAACAGGGAAGAATGTAAAGATCTAAATTTAGGCAGGAGAAATCAGATTCACAAATGTAAGATAGGTGTCACCTGGCTTGGTAGTAGTATCTGAAAGTACGTATCTAAAACTATTAGTTGATTACAAGCTGAACATGAGTCAATAGTGTCACCTTGGAGGGAAAAAACAAATGCAATGCAGGGCTGCATCAACAGAAAGGTGACGTTTAAATCGAAGTGGGTAATGGGACCACTTTATTCTGCTGCGATCAAATCTCAGCTAGAATGCTATGTCCAGTTCTGGCCACCACAAAAGGAGGCAACAAGGATTGTAAACGTTCTGGAAACCAAGGCCTATGAGGAAATATTTAGGGAATTAAGTATGTTTAGCTTGGGGAAGAGAGGACTGGGTGACAAACTGATATTTTCCTTCAAATATTTGAAAGATTGCCACATGAGAGATGGGGAAAACTTGATTTCTGTAAGTTCAGAGGGTAGGACCCAAGCAGCTCTTAGCATTATCTGTGTGGCCTTTGGTCTTATTTCAAGAGTCCAAATCAGATGTCTATAAAAGTAATCTTTTATTTCCTGTAGCTTGGTGTGAGGGAAGGGGAATGGAAGGGAGAGAGATGGTGGGTACCAAAGGCTCACCTATATTTCTTCTCTGCAGTTGTCTGTTCCTGGATTTGGCCCCTTCTTCTGCTGGTATGTTCAGTATAAATCCAGCAGATTATATTGAAGATTTTGTTCCCTACTGAAAAAAAAAGTTTGTTCATTCCTCATGCAAAAATCAGCAAATATAGAACTACATACTGGAGTAACATATTGAGCCCAAGTAATAAAATTGGCCACATCTCCATCTGTGTCCTGTCTCTTTATGTTTTTGCATTTCTTTGTGTATCTTTTTCAAAATACGGTAGTTATCTTTAAATTTAAGGCTCTTCTGCTGTACATCTCGTTTCCTTCTCATCTCCATTGCAGGAGATCCACTGTTATCCCCTGACATTTTCTAATTCTCGTATGTAATGTGAAACTTTCTCGCAGTTTTTGCATTATGGGGAAAATTTATTGGTGACAAGAGGATAAATGAAAATCACAATCCCAAAACAAGATTCCTACTAAGTTAACCTAATTCATGGCCTCATAATCTTTACAAAATCATTTAACTACCTTTAAGGATAAATTTTCCTGGTTGCTAAACTATTTTATTTAAACTATTTGGCATAGATTTGCAGCCACCCTTCCTTCTGAATGAACTTTTATCTAGACTTTTTCAGTTTTCATCCACAACTGTATTTATGTATTTCCTTGTTTATAAACATCAGTGGTTGTTGTATTCACAGGAATATGAAAATATGGTAGAACCAATGATGAATAAGCACACGTGATCTCTAGTACAGTGGAACCTCTACTTAAGAACGTCCCTACTTAAGAACAATCGAACTTAAGAACAGCTCCGTTCACTAAATTTTGCTTCTACTTGAGAACGGAGCTCCAAGATAAGAACGGGGAAAAAAACTTTCCTGCCCTTTTTTTAACCTTAGGTCATTTTAGGCAGATCTCTTAGATTAAAAAAAATTCTCCCCCTAGTGGTAGAGTACGGATTAACCGGCTTTGCATTAGTTCCTATGGGAACTAATGCTTCAGCGTACAAACGTGCCTGTACATAAGGACAAAAAACAGCCGGAACGGATTAATCGGTTTTCAATGCATTCCTATGGGAAATGCAGATTCAACATAAGAACTTTTCAACTTGAGAACCGCCTTCCAATACGGATTAAGTTCTTAAGTAGAGACCCCACTGTATATCTGTATTGGAACTTGCTAGTGTTCTTTAGTAGCTTCAGCATGGAAAAACTAAAGATGGCTTAGGAAAGAGGTTGCTTTCCAAAAGTTTTGGACTGCAGCCACCTTAATAGCTAAGCATTGTTTCCTGGGTCCATTGGACTACTTTCTTCTTAGGTTGAAACATTTTGCTACTCATCCAAGTTGCTTCCTCAGTCTGAGGACAGTTGGTATGAGAACCCTAATATATCCTCCACATTGGGTTCACTTCCCCCTGGCCTGAATAGGTTAGTTAGATGGACAAAAGACTGGGGGTGAGTGAAAATCCCACTTCTGCAGTCCTTCTCCACCCATTGTCATGGGTCCTTAATGGTCATTAACAGTGGTCTTTCTGGTGTGTGCGGTCCTGATCTTTCTGGAGAAGGGTGAAAGGGCAGCATGATAAATAGCAGACAGATTGTATCTGTTGTGTGAGGGATTTTCTATATGCGCATGTAAGGCCTCCCTGACCCCTCTCTCAAACTACCTATCTTCTCAGTCCAACATGAGTACATCTTGGTCATCAAATGAGTGTCCTTTGTTCTTCAAATGAAGGAACACTGCTGATTGTGGTCCTGCGCCATTGCCCTTCCTGTGCTGATCCATTCTCCTGTTTGGTGGCTGTTTGGTTTCTTCAGTGTAGCGCTCCAAACACTCCTCTTTGCATTGGACCGCATATACCATATTACTCATGTTGTGTTTTGGTGTCCGGTCTTTTGGGTGGATGAGTCTCTGCCTTAGTGTGTTTGTGGGTTTGAAGAGCACGGGTATGTGGTGTTTACCAAAAATCCTTTTGAGCTTTTCAGACACACCCACCATGTAAGGAATGACCAGATTCTTCCATCAGCTCTGGATCTCAGGCAGTTCCATTGTCCTGCTGGGTGCCAACACTGCCTTGTTAAAAGCCCATTTTGGATCTCCACAGGCCTTAAGGGCTATCTTCAGATATCTATCTTCCTTCTTGGCTTCTGTGGAGGTGATGATGTTTCTTCCTCTATGGTTTAGCATCCTGATGACCCCTAGTTTGTGTTGCGATGGGTGATGAGAGTCAAATGGAGGTACTGATCAACGTGTGTAGGTTTTCTGTAGATTTCTATTCCTAAGCTGTCGTTGGATCCTATGATGACTGCACAGTCTAGGAAAGCCAGCCAGTTGTCTTTGGTATCTCCCTGATGAACTTGATATTTGGGTGCACTGCCTGTATGTGGTCTGTGAAGGCCTGTACTTCCTGAATCTTGATCTTCATCCAGGTGTCATCCACACACCTGAACCAATGGTTCTGAGTGATCCCCTGGAAGATATTTAGTATCTTATTTTCCACTTCTTCCATGTATAAGTAGGCAACAATGGGTGACACTGGAGAATCCATGGCACAGCCATGTTTCTGTCTGTAAAGATCACCTTTGTAGGTGAAGTGAGTGGTGCTCAGACACAGGTCCAAGAGCAGGCATATCAGGTCCGGGTTGAGGCTGCTTCTGGTGGAGAGGGTGACCATTTGATGACCAAGATGTACTCATTTTGCCATGACTCCACTTCCAGATAACCACACCTGGATGATTGAGAATCTTCACAGATACTAAGCATTGTTTGTACTAACTAAGGCTTGTGGGAGTCATAGTCCAAGATATCTAGAGGGCACCAAATTTACCTTTAATCAGAAAATTGAAAAAATGCACACATTTGCTCTCAAGTTCCCCAATCCTTGCAGCATGGCCAACAGTGAGAAGGGGTTGTTCTTTCAGCAGACATCCAGGAATTGTTTTTTGCTTCCTGCATATCCCGTTGGACCAGGGAAGTTTGGAAGCCTTAATTGAACAGTTTTCCTTCCTGCATACAGGTAACACCTGCCACTTTGAGGATGAGAAAATATGTGGTTATACACAGGACACAACAGACAACTTTGACTGGATTCGTCAGAGTGGTCTAACCCACGATCCCAAGCGCTCGGCTAATACAGGCCCAACCATGGACTTCAGCGGGACACCAGAAGGTATATTTGATTCTAGCTTCTTGTCTCTGAGCTTTGCCAAGTTGTGCCTTCTGCGTTCTTCTATTTGTTACTCCCTCCTAATGGGGCTCTTGCAGGGAACGGGAAGTGAATGAGCAGGAGGAGTCTGTGTTGTCACTCAGAAATTCACCCCTCCATCATGACCTAGGAAGGAGCACTAGCCATTTGCCTCATCCACACACTCATCACCTCCCATTTTATGTACTTTTAAGGGATCCATTTCCTTCAGACATCCATATTCCAAACAGCTTGCCTCTCGTGTGAATGTTGCAGTATCAGTTGGGTCTTGAATAAGAAAGAGACAATCTCTCAATTTTGCATTTATTATAAGTTTATTTCTCTTCTAAATAGGTAGGGTGCACATTCGGCAATTTTTTCATGGATTAACTGACATGGACTGATTCAAGTGAGACAGCTTTTCCCAGCGTGGAGAGGACCACACTATACTCACTTGCCCTAAAGATGGTAGAGATTAGAAGTCCTTACAAAGAGAGCCAATCCTAGTTCAACATCAATGTGACTGAATACACAGGAATTCAAACATAGGTTTTTAACAGTTAAACACTCAAAGATCCAGGTGTGGATTGGTGGATAAATCTGTTGGTTTTTGGCTTCTCCCACATTTGAATCTTTATTCTCTCAAGCCCTTTCCATCCCAAATAGGAAGACATTTGTGTACCTCATTATTTAAAAAATGAGCTGAAATGGGATTCTCATCTATTCATAGTACTCTAAAGTTCAGGTTATTGTTTCTCCTTCCCTGTTTCATCCCTCCCCTCCCCCAAGGTTGAGACCCTAAGATTGTCTGGTAGCAAAAACCTATACCTGAGAAGCCCTGCTGTGGTGACATACAGAAGACAGAGAACCACTGCATCTAGATTTTAGAAGTCCTGCCAAAGCACAGTTTAGCTTTCAGTATCATAGGCCGCCCTTGGGACTTGGGCATAAAATAGATTATTTTTATAGACAGACAGACAGACAGAAAGACAGACACACAAACACACACACACACACACACACACACACACACACACACACACACACACACACACAGAGAGCCCTCTGTACTGAGTACTATGAACAGGCAGTAAATTGCATACTTCTTATTCAAATTAAATACCCAATTAAAACTCCCAATGCTTTCTTTAGGGAGAACCAGGGAGCATTGGTCCTTGTTACTGGTTAATTGCCTGCTGCCAAATGGCCTTGTTCCACTTTGAACTCATGGAGGAGAGGAGCCAGACAGAGGGAAGGAATTTTTTAAATGAGCAGACCAGCTTCTCACAGGACAGCCCACTGAAATTTCCAGTTCCTTGTGTCAGAATCTCCTAGGATGCAGTATTTTCAGCCTTTAAAGGGAGAGTGTAATGTTAGAAGTATTATAATGAACCAATAATTACTTTGAGAAGTAAGCAAGTAAGCCTATCTCCTTATTATCCCTAGATCACCTCTTTTTCACCTAATGGATATAGCAATGGGCCATATGTGAAAAAACATTTGACCCTCCAAGTATCTGCATATGTTTTTCACCATTTTACCATTACCTGCTGGCTGGGACTTCTGGGAGTTGAGGTCTAAAATATCTGAACAGCCAAAGTCTCCCCACCCTTGCTGTGGCCATTTCTATCTTGGCTGCTCACATAGCCTTGTTCTTCTCTAGACTAAATAGAGAGAATGCTCTTAGGACTTCATTACATTCCACGGTACATTCTCATAACTTCCATATCCCTTAAGCTAGAAAAAAATTTGCCCCATTACACATCACATTCAATGTCCATACCTCCAGTTTGGAAAGAGAGTTTTGGAGCTCAAATTTGTTCTTAAATCTTAAATTATTTAATGTCCCAAGCAGACGTGATCACCTGTGAACCCCAAATCAAAAACCTTGCATGAAAAGCTGTTTTCTGTCCATCAAAGTTGCTAGATTTATATGTTATACATTTTCTTTTAAGAGTATTTGGTCTACATTCCTTTATATGCTAACATATCTCCACAGCATTTGCTTTTAAAATAGTATGCTGGAGGGGAGCAGTTGAATTCATTGGTGTCCTCCAGATGTTCTTGGACTACAACTCCCAACTTTCCTCACCATTGCCTTTGAAGGCTATGGCTAATGGGAGTTTCAGCCCAACAATGTTTTCATCTATCCTTTCTGTAGAGCCAACCTAGTGAGGTCTTCTGCATTCTTTTCTTTTCTTATCATATTAAATTCATTCTATAGTCAGTTTTGTTCAGCTGTATTATGATAGTTTAGCTCTGCTGAATAGAAGATAAAAGAGTTATGATTTCTTTAGCCCATTAAATAAACATATGTAAAAATGGACCTGCACAGGAAGGCAAAATTCATAATGACACGCCTAGCCAGACTCTGTTAAATTTGTCTGGAAGCATCCTAAATGCTAGCTATAAGCTTATATTTCCCCACACTGCTGACTCAGAGGGCAATGTGAAAGTAATTACTTTTCCTTAACTTTGTTTCTTTGCTGTTCAGGCTACTACATGTTCATCGAAGCCTCTGCACCCCGAGTGAAGGATGACAAAGCCAGGTTAATCAGCCCCATGTACAACATGACATCCAGATTCTGCGTTTCCTTCTATTATCACATGTATGGGAAGCACATTGGTGAGTGGAATTCAAGGAGAACTACTGAATGGATGGTGAAAGAGCACATTGAGGCTCAGAGGAATGTTTTATTTACTGTGTTATTACAGTGGAATAATAAATACTCTGTAGTGTAGAGTGTGCCAGATTTGTTCTCTGTGGGTGACAGTCAGCAAGTGGCCGCTTTATATCCTGGTGCTGATTTCTGCAAACTATGCTGTTTGAAAAGGGACACTGGAGTCAACTACTGAGTTGGAAATCCTTTGCCCTTATCTACATCTGAATGGCAACTCCCCACACTCCGCCCAACCTTTCATTGTTGCATGTAGAGATGGGGGTATTCAAATACGAATGTCCCCCCACAGGTGCACATAACAAGGGTACAGCCCCTTGGGGCCAGACCAACCACTCATGATTCCATCATTGCCACGAGCTCTGTGGAGCCTTCCTATTGCTCTGTTGCTTGCGGGCGGAGCCTTCCTATTGCTCTGTTGCTTGCGGTAGATTAGCCAGTCCTGGCAGAAGGCGGGATGATGAACCTCTCTGCCAGGTCGCAGAGTGGCTAATCCGTCATGAGCAACAGAGAGATGGGAAGGCACTGCGGAGCTCACAGCAGTGACAGAATCATGAGTGGTCGGTCTGGCCCCAGGGGGGCGGACCCTCGTTATTTGCACCTCAGGAGGGGGATATTCACATTCATATATGAATACCCCCATCTCTAGTTGCATGCATAAAATAGTGAAAAATGCCTTCGGGCAAGCAAATAATGTTTTTCTATAATACTCCACTACTGAACATGGTCAGCCAGCTTTGTGTTTATAGATTCTAAGCCTTTAGAATAGTGTCCCTGCATTTTTTTTTCAGAGATATATTCTACAGTATGCCGCAAGTGTTAGAAACTTGATCTTAGTTTAAACTTTGTAGCGAGAGTACAAATGTGCTATGGCACTTGCAAACATCTGTGTAGCCACATCTTGCTATTCTCTCTGGGGTACAGGCTCACCAATTTTTGCCCTCCTCTCTGCATGTTCTAGGAGAGTACAGAGTTACATTTCTTATACTCTTACATTTCTGCCACTTTTACTGAGATGTTGCCATAGGACCAGTTAGTAATTTATTTTGTGAGTATACCTGTGTGTTGTGGATTGAAAAAAAATTCTAGTAGGATTGTTTTACCAGAGATAGTATACACATCAATAGGGACTCTCTGATTGCTATTTTGATTTTAGAGAGGATGAATAAGACCCAGGAATATGGCAAAAATATTGTTTAGAAGAGGTTGCTTTTATGTAGCAAAGTCCTTTCAGAAGACATTCATTCGCTCTCACTCTCGCTCTCGCTCTCGCTCTCACACACAACAAAGTCCTTTCAAAAGACATTCATTCTCTCTCGCTCTCGCTCTCACACACACTTACTTTACCCCTGTCTCTGCTGAGATGAAGTTGTAGCTCTCAGTGAATGTCACAGAAGTGCCTAATGAGTTTCCACATTCAGTCAAGGAGCAATTGCTAATTTGTCACCTCTTGATTATAATTTCATTAATTTGAATAATAAATGCACTCTTTCTGAAGCCGGCTAAGTTATTAATCACCTGCTGGACTGGAGGCTCACTGAAAAATCAGGGCTCAGTCAGGAGTTTGTCTATCTGTTGGTAAATAGGGCTTGTGAGCAGAGTTAATTAACATATTCCTCTCTCTGAAAACATCAGATTTCATCAAGCTGGAAGGCAGTATTTTGTACCTCTTTACTCTTAGGAAGAAAGAGCAGAATTTTTCTAGGTGTTGGGTCACATCACCCTTTCCTTATTTACACTGTCCTAAGCAAGTGTTTCCCAATCTTGGATAACTCAGGTAATCTTTGACTTCAACTCCCAGAAACCCCAGGCAACAGAGCTAGCCATGAAGGTTTGTGGGAATGGCACTCCAAGAACACCTAGGTTACCCCGGTTGAGAACCACTGTCCTAGATAAATAATTTCTTCAGTGCAAGCTGCTTTTCTGAATACAATGCTTATTAGACCATTCTTCTCACTTTGAAGCCCTTGTTTTGGTCTACAAAGTAAGTGCCTGAGGTTCCAATGGATGCCCTGTTGGCAGACAGTTCGTTCTCTCAAATATTGGGGGGCGGAGAGAAATGTATTTTGCCGGTTGACAACCACTGTCCCAGATAAATAATTTCTTCAGTGCAAGCTGCTTTTCTGAATACAATGCTTATTAGACCATTCTTCTCACTTTGAAGCCCTTGTTTTGGTCTACAAAGTAAGTGCCTGAGGTTCCAATGGATGCCCTGTTGGCAGACAGTTCGTTCTCTCAAATATTGGGGGGCGGAGAGAAATGTATTTTGGTCCTTACCTTTTGTTATGAACACCTTCTGTGCTTGTCCAATGCAGGCCTCAGCCTGCAGACAGGACTGTCTTGTCTTTACCTAGCTAATTATTACCTTGGCTAGTCCTTCAGTTACATCTTTATCATTAATAAAAATCTCCCCCAAACAACTTCAGTGTGCCTACTATTGAAAAAGATTGCCTACTACAGAACGGCTCAGACTGTTTATATATCTTCTAGTACTTGCAGTGTTCAACTAGGGCTCAAGAGATCTGGATTTAGCCGTAAAACAGAGTGAGTGATCTTAGGCCAGCTACAGGCTCTCAGCCTCCCTTATTTCACAGGATTGCCATGCATACAGCCTTGAGGTCAGTGTAAGATAGGCGGAGCATAGATGTAACAACGACAAATCAAAGGGAGCGTCAGAGATTCTGATGAGCCAGCCTTGGAGAGTGCTCAGTGCTATCATAATCAACCACTGGAGAATAGATCATCATTAGCATCACTGTCATCTTTGATGGTTCAAACACTGCACTAGTGATGATGACCTGAACACTGCTTAACACAGTTTGGGACAGACAAAATGTTAAGTTTTGATTTCAGCTCCTGAAAATTCCATGAAAACATTATGTGGGTACATTTGATTCATACCCAATCCCATTCATTTGTTATACTGTGCGTTCATATATTTTAACACCCCTTAAGATTATGTTTTGTTTCTGAACTAGGACTTGGAGCAAATTTCTGCATCTTCTGGTTCCAACTGGCAGTTCCAAAGATCTGTTAAACCTGTGCAAGATGATTGAACTGCTTTGCTTTAATGTTCTGAGAGTTCTCATGAAATGTTCAGAGGGAAGAATAAATAGATTTTGAATTATTCAAAAACCAAACAAGGTAGAGAGATTCTGACTGCTTGGGAGGAATTAAAATAACCCCTTAATCATGTAATAAGGGGCATTAATGGGCCCATTCTCAAAACTAAATTCACATAGTTACATTTCTCTCCTTCCCTCCCTCACCCTGTTTTTCTAGGTTGGATAGAGAATTCATTATAGCTTCTTTTTATAATTAAGCTTACTTCCATTTAGATTGTCAGAAATGATTTGTCCATTTGATTTGTCTTTGTCTTTATTTTATGATTTTCTGTTGTTTTGCTTTGTTGCTTAATTTCATCATTTGTTAACCACTCAGAATAGTGCATTGCATAGTGGTGTGGTACATTCATCCATCCATCCATCAATCAATCAATCTCTGTATTAGTGTTCCTAATAAGAAAAGATGTTTCATGAAATAAATGAGATTGCATGAACATATGTTAGCTTGACTTGAGCACTTCTCAGTTTGCCTCTTGCTCAACAGTTGCCTGAAGTGATAAGTAAGAATGATTTGTGATAGCCATTTCACATACTCAAGTAATGGCTTCAATTATCATGAGATAAACATAACCTACACTAACTCTTGTTACAACATTATTATGTCCTATTATATTGCATTGTCTTAAAACAGTAAATACTATTCTATTCCATAAATGTGAGAGATACCGCTTTTTTAAAAAATTGCCCTCTTCATTCCTTTGCTTTCCCTCAGGCATCTGGCTGACATATCATCAAAGATCTTCCTTTAGCACTTGGTTATTTTATCATAGAGATGCTCTGTCTTTAGAAACCTAGAAGCTCTCTCAGACTCCTCATTAAAAAGCCATTTAATTGTCACAGTAGGAACTCGCATAGAATTATCTTGCTCACTTCCACTTGTTTGACACTAGGGTTGTAGTTCATCCTATCCTTTCCCCATTCTGTTGTTCAAGGGACATTTTGAAAGTGGAAGAAAGCTCAAGTGACTGTACACTGGTTTACTTCAGCGTCTTGGACATTTGCCCATTTGCTGTCACACTCCCCAGCCACACCCCAATTGAAGTCCCAACTTCAAGCTGCTTGTTCATGTCCTTGTCTTAACACCTGTAGGAAGCTGAGATGACAACCTCCTGTAACAATGGCAAGAATAGTTTGAGAAGAAAATTTGATGGTCTATAACAAATTGGTAAATCAGGGATGGTAACATGTGGTCCACAGGTGAAATACAGCATCTCCTGCCCCTCTTGGCAAGGCTTGCCACCACTTTTCCTATGATACTGCCAGGTTCCTGCAATGCTGTGCCAAAAAAGGCAGGAAGCCTGTGCTTTCTTTTCAAATTCTAGCTTTTCCTCATCGCCTCACTGCTGAAATTTATAGCACAGCAGCAGCAATAGGTGGTAGCCCCCTAGTGGGTGGAGGGGAATTCCAGTGAATCTTCCCACCCTACCTGCAGGTAGTAAACCTGTACGTCCACTCATGCAATAAAGGAACACATGCCAATGGATGAGAGGTGGTTAAATCAGCAGATCTTATTTAGAACTCATGTGGTGTTATGAGAACAGGGCTGGCAGCTCATCCCCTTTTGCTGTGTAGTAGGAACTGACTGTCTCTCAGAGAACCTGCTTCCTTGTAATGTTAATAATAAGCTGTCACTGAAAATTTACAGGTATAGAGACTGGGCCTATCAAAAGTATGCTGACTCCAAATGCACTGCAGCAAAAAAAATAGTTATAGAGACATTAGAACACGGTATGATGCTGAGAAACTTGTTTTATATCTTGAAATGGAAACTAAGATTCTCCCCAGATTGTCAGTATTAACTGGAAGATAACCAGTACTTCCAC